TTGATATTTTCACGTCACGGGGAGCTTTCGGAGGGAAATTGATGGGCCTCGCTCATAGAGCTAATTTAATACAACATTGTCAGAGAGGGAGAGGGGAACTTTCGAGTAACTTATCCCATTTCTGTTTTATATATTCAATGGAGGGTTGTCGACCACCTTCTAATTAGAGACTTGCCAAATCCTTTTGCCACTCATTGTTCAAACAAGAATCACAGTAACTGAAAACGCCAAAAAAAAAAAAGGTTACTGTCAATGAGATCTGAAAGTATGTTTGCGAAAACAACCTCAACCTTTAGGGCCTCTGTCGCAGCTGCTTTTAGTTTGAATCTCACTGGCTGAGGAGGTGATGCGTTATCTCGAAACTAATCACATAGCAGGGTGAAGTAAAACCAATACAACCCTGGATAACTTCCGACAGTCAATTAAAAATGACCTTTTTTGTGACCAAACTATTTTGTATATTGCATTTTAGGAGTGCATCCACTTCCCGCACGACCAACACCGGTTCGCCCTACACGTCCTCGTAAGCCCCCAGTTCGTCCAGGTAAGGAAAACAAGGATAAAAATAAAAAGTGGGGAATATCAGAAGTAAATGTTGTCATTAGTCTTTCTGCCCTTAAACACTTTAGACTAAAAGATATTACAGAGGAAAATGGCACTTCATTTAACCGGGTGGAATCACAACGAAAGCGCTCCATATGAGCTTCATATTAAATGAAAAGAATCACAGCAGCCTTGTAAAAAAAATAATAACATTCTCCTAAGCGAAAGCAACTTAAGATCGATGAGCGATGGTTTCCATCTTAACGAATTCACATATTACAAATAAACATTATGATACGACAAAAAAAAATTGGTGTTGCTAACTCTCCAGTAGTTTACTTTGGTTTTGTAAATATATTTAAGTTTAAACTTTGTTATCATCGTAAATGCAGAAATACACTGGCTGTTTTCTGTACCGATCTAGTGCGTTAAGCAATTTTAAGCATTTTTCCATAAATCAGGATTTCTGAAAGAGGCACCTGTTACCCTTTTGGTTTACGTTTTCAGTTATCAACCCGAGAGCTCAGGCTGTGTACCCACTCAGTTTGCGTACGCGCGGTCGTGACCTCAGTTTGTATCGTAATCCCGCGGGAAGCGTTCGAAGCGTCAGGTACATAACAGGCCCGGACGGAAGACCCAACACAGCGACGCGATTCCTCGGACACCAAAACAGCTTCATCGAGTTCCCTAACCGCGGTAAACTCGACACTAAGCGGTCCATTACTTTACTGGCATGGATTTACCACGAAGGACGTGCAGGACCAATATTCAACTACATGCCGAACGGCTGGGGCGTGCACTTTTGGATGGTTTCACCGACGACGCTGTTTGTACGGTTTACGCGTCGTAAAGGAAGGCGATTTACAGCGGCGGTTACAACCAGAGTCCTAAATCGTCGATGGCAGTTTGTTGGTGCAACTTACGATGGCACAACTGGCGTTGCTAAGCTATTTGTGAACAGGCGGTTTACTGCAAGTAGGCGCATTGGAAAGATAAGACTGGCCACGAACTATCCTGTACGGATGGGAGCTCGCGCTGGTGATAGGCGTTACCTCTTCGGTCGTATTTCCTGCATGCAGGTGTATGATCAGCCCTTATCAGCATCACAAATTTTACGTCGGAAAAAGAGATGCTTCACTCGAGGTAAATTGCAGTGATTGATGTATAAATTGGAAGATTAACGTCGTTGCAGTTATTTGTTCGCGATAGAGAAAATGTATTTCGTGACTGCCATGTATGGATCTGGTCACGGAGCTGTTTAGAGTGATCCAACATTTCCCTTTCTGTAGATCTTTAGCGCAACATTCAAAGTAAAACGAACTAAATGCTCTAGTAGAATTCACTGAGTGCACTGGAATTAATATGGATCGATGGCTTTTTACAAACCTTTACTTTTTTATCTTATTGCTATCGTTTCAGGTCCTATCATCGTTCCACCGGTCATTCGTCCAGCTGGACCAGGTATTTATCACGTGTTTTCTTACAATGCTTAACTGCTTTCCTCGCAAGAGCTGGTTTGAGCAAGGTCTCACCCATCGTATCCATGAGAAAGAATTTCTTCTTCGAAATTGATAAATATTTCGACATTTTGACGTACTCTACTTTCAAACACAACGAGCTCTTAAAGTCTTCAACTCAAAAAAAAAGTTCGTATCCGATAAGTGTTCTAAGGACGATTGTGTTACCTTATAAGGGATCCGAAAACTTAAGATTTCAACGATCATTATTATTTATGATTATTATCATTTTGATAACCAACCTTGCGTAGGTGTAGTGCGTTTTATGCGTTCTTAATAGTCGTGATTTATTCTTGCAGGTTCTTAGTCAGTTTTTTCTCTCTTTATGAAGGGGGTGAGTTTCTTAAGAAACTGTGGTGCTGCGTCGGTGGGAGAGTATAACAGGGTAATTCAGTGTTAGCAACTGAGTTGATAGTGTAAATTGGCCACCGTCAGAACGATGGACGAAGGGCTAACGCTCGAAACGTCAGCCTTTCCACACTTCACGATGGCCAATTTACATTATCAACTGAGTTGATAATACTAAATTACCCTGTTATACTCTCCCACCGACGCACCACTACAGTGGCTTTAGAAACTAACCCCCTTTATTCATTTTTTTCTCTTTAGTTTGCGTAGCCAAGATTGATTTAGGTTTCGTCATCGACGCCTCCGGAAGCATCGAAGCCTCGGGCAGAGGGAACTTCAAACGTTGCCTTAATTTCATCAAGAGATTAGTGGCTTCATTTAAAATCTCAAGGCGTTACACTCGCGTTGGAGCTGTTGTTTATTCAAGAAGGGTTCGTAAAGTGTTTGGTTTTAACACATACAACAACAAAAGATATCTCATGAAAGCTATTGACCGTATTCCATACCTCCGAAGCATCACCAGGACGGGCTACGCTTTGTCATTTGCCCGGCGTAACCTGTTTAATAGCAGGCGCAGAAACAGCAAGCCAGTTTTAATCGTGATGACTGACGGAATATCCAATGACCGCGTGCGCGGAAGTGCACTGGCACTAAAGCGCGCAGGAATAGAAGTATTTGCCATTGGAATTGGAAAGAACTACAACATTGGACAGCTCATGCAGATAGCCTCCACAAAGAGACAAGTCTACGTAGCGGGATTTAGGAATCTGCAAAATATTGTTCGAGTGATAAAGTCTAAAGCTT